TAATCTTTATAAGAGATAATGACTAGGTAGGAGCTAATGGAGAAATTTTCTGGGGTACTGTGAAGGCTTTTTAAAAAAAATTTAGGTAGCAGATATACACATGTGTTCACATTGTAAATATAGATCACACCATCTACTTAGATGTTCTGTACTTCTTTTCTACATAGATTGCACTTAAATAAAATTTTAGTTAAACAAAAGGCTTTTATGGGTATTCACTTTTAGTTTGGTGAACTCTGAACATTTAATCTTTCAGTCTATAATGCAGAGATAAATGTTATACCCACTACTGTACTATCTGATTAATTATCAATGCCTAGACAATTTTTTTCCCAAAGCAAAGAAGATGTATTATTGCTTTCATTTTTTCTTCACTTTATTAATCATTAGCTGTAGATAAAATCTAAGTAGCCTGCGGTTTCAAGCTTTAGCACAAGAGAAAGTAACATCCTCTGAGCCTACTGATAAGGTCCAAGGCTGGTACAAAGTGCAGACCATCAGCGGAGGGTTGGAAAAACACTCAAGGACTCAGAACAAATAAGATGAAATTGCTCTACTTAGGCAATAAACAGAAAATTTCTTCTCTCTGAAGTTGATCAAAACAGTCCATTTTCCTTTAAAGGAATGATGACATTATGAGAAGGAAATGATATTCTTTTAAAGACCATTTAATTATATAAATGTAACTGAGACCTAATTCAGTGCAACTACCATCTTGGCACTTGTTCACCTCCATATTTGAAGGTATATTCTCTCTATTGCTCTGAAAACCTGTCATTTTGCAATAAACTCTACTAACACATGAGATGAATGTCTTATATCTTGTCTGAAATATTTTGTAACAGATATGAACTGAAAAGCATGTGCTGCTTGTTCCTCACAGTGTTAAGATATGGCTTCCTGGAGACATCTTCAATGCTGTGATTCAGATTACTGATTCACTAAACAGGAAGGCTAGACCTTTTCACTGCTTCTGTCTCTGAAGTTAGATCATGAGCCTTCTTTTTCCCTCTGTTTATCCTGTGCTGCAGCATCCCATAGACTTGGAATTTTTCCAAAATATGCAATACTTTGAGCCTCTGGATAGGCTATTGTGTTTGTGAAGGTTGTTTTCCACTAGGTTTACTTGGAATCCTGTACTGGCTACTATTCTTAGACTTTCATATTACTGTTGTCTCTTCCACCACTATCAGAAGTAACACCACTTCTGGTCAGAACAGCTCTGAATAACTACCACAGTATGCCAAAAGTGCCTTTTTCTGTATAATATACTGATTAAGCCTTGTTCATGCCAATGGATTCTAAAATACTTATAATCTTTTGGTATATATTAGATCATATCTTGGTCACTTTCTTTATTGCTGAGATGAAATGTTTTAGAGGTTTCAGTCCATATTTGGGTGGCTCTAGTGCAGAAGTGGTATGGGGGAAGGGCCTGCTGCAAGGGAAAGCTGCTTATGTCATTTTATTGAGAAAGCCAAGAATTCAGGGAGGAAGTGGAGAGGGAGATACACCCTTCCAGCTCATACCCCTTCCAACTAGGCTCCACCTCCTAACATCACATTTAGCTATAGGACCCCCAGTGGTCCAATCCTCTTCCAATAGACACCCTTTGAATACATAAGTCTCTTGGGAGCGTCTAGATATAAACCATAACACATGGTAAACATCAGTCTGTGCATTGGAAAGTGAATGTCACACTCCTTTCTCTACAGATATTGGCAGAATACAAACTAAAGTAGTTCACAGTCTGATGAGAGGCATTCTAAAGTCAACCACTAGTTACAAAAAGAATACAGAGGCCACTTGAGACCTGTCAATCACCTAGATCCAGGAGTCAGGCAAGATGAGTTACATTCAATCTTGAGACCACATGTGAACAAACAGGGATGTCTCTGCACTTCCTCTCAGTTTATTTCCTTTTCTTACAAGGGGGTTGCCTTTTCTGAGCTGTATAGTTTTTTGTCACAGAGGTGTCCCATTGACTTGCTTCTCAGATGCATCCCATGACTATACTCCACTTAGATCTCTTTTGCAGAAAGGCAAGGCAATGGTTGGAGGTATCCTATGTGCAAGCTCTCTTTGCTTTATGAGATAATCCTAACTTAAGTTCCCAGTCCAAATTAGATCCAGATATGATGGCACTCGGGAATAAAATGGAAGTCCTTAGTATTAATAACTTCCCATCTCTTGAACTACCTCCCAAACAGGATAACACTAGTGCTCCAAACTCAGACAATAAGAGACCTACTGTACCTTACTCAAGGTCCTCAGTAAATGTTACAGCCCCACTGGCATGTGTGTGTGCTCTTGAGGAGGTATTGGGTGAATTCAGACCAGTTGGAACTCAACAATCTTTCTTTTTGTAAGATATAAAGCAAATAAAACAGGATTTGAGTAGTTTTTCAGATGATGACCTAAAGACATCACATGAAAGAGCAGAACTCCATCCTTTTCAGCCCCAAAATTGCAAGTTAGAGACTTTGCTTTGAAAAGAGAGTCCCAGAGCACCAGGTTCCAGGACGGCGGTTGCCTTGGAAATTTGTTCCTTGGAATTGGGTTCAGAGAGCTTAGCAATCTAGGCACTGGACCCCTACAGCCAAGAGAGAAGGAAGCCTGGCCCTGGGTCCAGCTGGCAGCAGACCCTTGTGTCATCCGCCTGGTGCTGGTTTTAGGTGCATGCAGAATGGAAGAGCTGTGGGGTCAGGAAGGCTTCTACCCAGATTTCAGAAGAAGGCCTGGGAGGCCAGGCAGTGGTGCCTCAGACAGGGTAGTGTGTGAAGCTGTGAGTGTGAGGCCTAAGGTGCAGTGGAGACCCCAGAAGTTTGGATAGTCTCAGGAAAACTGAAAGGAGGGAGCAAAGCCAGCCTAAGAAAGAACCCATGGAAACTACACCCACCAGAAGTGCCATAGGGGCAGAGTCACCTAAATCCGTTGGAGTTCACAACTTGCCACTGATTGCTAGGGATGCTGGAAGTGGAACTGCAGGATTTATTGTTTGCCCTGTAGGATTTTAGTCTTGCTTTGTTCCCATTCCTTGGTATCCCCCTCTTTGTAACTTTTATAATGGAAATGTCTATTTTGTACCACTAAATGTTGGAAGTATTTAACTTTCTTTTCCTTTGTACAGTGGTTCACAGCTAAGAGTTTGCCTTAAATCTCAGAGGAGACTTTGGACTTGGACTTTTCAGCATTGCTGAAACTGTTAGGACTTTGGCAGCTCTTGGAGATGGACTAAATGCCCTTTGCATAAAGGGATGTGCATGAGTCTTGGTGGGGGGGCAGAGGTGGAATGTTATGACTTGCATCAAGATGTCCCACAATGCCTCAGGCAGTCATAGATGAGGCTTTTTCAGACTGGCTGGATTTATAGTGTGGATCCTGGAGACAGGTGGCTGGGGTCTATGTGAAAAGCAAAAAAGACATGATTTTTTTCCCTTCATTTTCTTAATCATTAGTTACAGATAAAATGTAACAAGCCTATAGTTTCAAACTTTATCCCAAGAATATGTAACCTGCTCTGAACCTAATAAGGTTCAGGGCCTATACAAAGTCCAGACCAGGACCACTGGTGAAGGATTGGAAAAGACCTCAAGGGCACAGAACAACTAAGCAGAAACATTCCACCTCAGGAGTAAACAGAAACTTTCTTCTCTCTTAAACTGATCAAAGGAGCCCATTTTCCTTGTAAAAGAATAATGGAGGGAGGAAATGACATTCCTTGAAAGAGCAATTTTTTTAATATAATGCTTTTTTATTTAAAAATACTGAAAGAAGACAAGAGTTTCTCGCATTATTTTTGTGTTTCAAGCATCCCACCGTCCATCTGATGAATCTTGTGGGCCCTTACTTAGAATAGTGTTTCTAAATACATAAAATATATAGGATTATAAAAGAAACCAATTACATTGAAATATAATGATCGAACTATTTTTAAAGCAAGCTACGTATGATAATGTATACTTTTAATTAACACATTAAATACATGATCCAGCAACAATAACTCAAGGTAGTGCATGAGTAAAGAATATTTTGAGACATCTGAAAATACTGTAATATGATACAAAAATATCTTGGATTTCTAACCATGACAGAGTCACAGACACTTCTAACACCACTGTAGTTTATTGGCTGTGTTCATAATTAGGGGGAAATGGTGTTCAAAGTCCCTTCCAAGTTCACAGACCTTAGGAATACTATTAATGAAGCCCAAGAAGCAGCAGTGCCTTAAAACAAGTTCTAAGGGAATCCTCACAGGGCCTACTGCTAGAAGACTTGTAGGTGCCTATCCCTGCAGTTCACTGCTTAAGTCCATACAAGCCCTAACTTCAGCCTTAAACTGAGAGTCCTACTATATTTAGAAGAAAAAAGAAGTTTCAGTATGCATTTGTGATACATACTAGTTACATTAACCTTGGGGAATTAGTACATATAATTATTATATCTTCATCACTCTACCCCACCCCCATTCTCTTCTTCATTCTCAGATCCCTTTTTCTTCTCCACAAAATCTACCTGTTTCCTATCATTTTTTATTTTGCTCTTTATATTTTGAGTTTCTCAGGCAGTATGAGGGAAATCACGGGGTATTTAATCTGTGTCTGATTTATTTCACCTAGCATTATGGTTTCAAGATCTGTTCTTTTGCCTACAAATGGCTCAGATTTATCCTTGACAGACCCGTTTTAATTATTTTACTGTAACATGAGACCTAAGCAGTGCAACTGACATCATGGCATTTGCCCATTTTCACGCTTGAAGTTGTAGTCTCTCTATCACTCTGAAAAACTATGATTTTGTATAACCTCTACCTATACACCACATGACTGTCTAGGTAGCTTGTCTGAAATCTTTCATCAAAGACACAAAGAACCTAGGAGCAGTGTCAGTGATTCTTAGCAGTGCTAGGACGCAGCTTCCTGTTGACATTAATCCCTTATCCGCTGTGTTTCCTTTTCCTATCTAAAAACCAGGGAGGTGGGGCTTAAGCAACTGACAGCCTGGCACTGATCTAGAGACAGCGGGAACTTCTGGGCTCAGGACGAGGGCTGGGCCCCCACCAGCTCAGCAGCTCTGGTGAACTAAGCCCTGCACTGAAATGCCACTGCCTCAGTACAGTCAGTCACTGCTGCGTCCTCTAGCCTAGGCCCCCCGGGGTGTCCACGCCCCCGTGGGGTTGAGGCCCAGCCGCGCCCCACCCTACCCACGGGCGCCTAGGGCAGCAGGCGCCAGAGTGTAGCCCTGGCAGGGAGGTGCTGTGGGTTGTGTCCTGCGTCCTGCGTCTACACTGAGCCCTTAGTGAACAAGAGGGAAGGAGCTCGGTACCCCGACTGAGGCAGGGAGAAGCGCAAAGAGGGCGGCCAGGAAAGGAGCAGGACTACTCCGGGAAGTTCAGGATTGCTACAGGGCCCGGGAAGCGTGCGCAGCGGCGCCACACTCTGGTCCCAGCAGCTCGAGACATCCGGGTGGGAAGCTCGCTTAAACCCAGGGATTCAAGTACAACGTGGGCCACACAGTGAGCCCTCACCTGAAGAAAGAAGAATGATAATAGCACCGCGCAAGTGCTTGGTGTTGTTGAGTGGAAACTGCTTCTCTGGGGCGTGTTTGGGAGATCTAGCTGATTCATCTCGGCGTCTACACCCAGCGTTGCTCGGACTCTGCCCCTGAGCCCGAGCCCTGGGTTATCTGAGCCGCAGTTGAGCCCCGTGAGTACATTTGGGGCTGTGCATGTGGCTGGAAAGATGGGTGGGAATTTCATGTACATTTTATTAGGAAATAGCACACTGCTCAAATGAGGTGCCTGGGTTTGTCGCTCCTCGCAGTCTCCTTTTAAAGAGAATGTGAAATAGAAACTGAAATTCAGTGGTTTTTCAGAAAACAATGTGAGCAACTGGTTCTTGGTGTGGACCTGTGTTGTGGGCCACTTGGTGGGTATAAAGCTCTTGCTTTTCTGCAAATGTGTCAGGATAAATATAATTGATGTTGCATGGATAAAAACTTGCCAAGCATGGAAACTACTACAGGTGGAGGAGAAATTTGCTCACATTACTGTTTTAACCGTGTGGACAAATCTTTTCATTTTCTTATCCCCAGAATATAAAGCTTGCCCACAGGTTGGAGTTATTGAACCTCTTTTGTAATTTTTCTGTGAATAGTTGAGTTTTGATAATTAACTTTAAAAAATGACCAGTTTGTTGTAATATATTTATAGGAATGCAATATGTATTCAAAAGTTCAAACAATATAGAAAAATATAAAACCAAAAATGAGGCACTAAAATCTATCATTTAAAAAATATATATATATATGTATATATGTAATGTTGCCTTGTTTTATTTTCTCACTTAACAGTAGAAAGGTAAGCACTCATTACTCTTTCAATAAAGCACAGATTCATAGTAGCAAAATGGTTATCGGACAGTTTTTATCCAGGTCCAGGCAATTATGTAGTTCTCCTAGAAACATACTCTTATATAAGTTGTATTAAAATACACACACATGCATAATTTATCTCTCCATTTATTATCACTAACCATCCATGCAACATTTAAAGTAAGCATTAGTATAATTAATAGGAAAATAAAATACTACCTGGAGGGTAAAAATGCCATAAGAGATCACACTGGAATGGACATGGCCCTCTTGTGATTAATGAAGTTGCATCTGGAGGCCATAATATAAAGGGAGTGGTCAGTCACACTGTTCAGTAACAGTAAAGGGAAAAAATTCTGGATCTTCAGAGGGGCTTTTCCTGGCATTTACTTTTGAGGAAAACATCCTGTGGGTATGTCACAAATGTCTTGGTGTGTTTGTATGGGGAACACACCCCCAATATCCTGTCCCAGATGTGTTCTGTGTTGGGAGAATTTAGTCAGAATGAAACTGTGCATGTTATCCAATATGTTATATGAAATTTACTAAAGGTAAAACATATGCATGACCCAGAAACTATAAAGCAGAAGTCTACTTTTAATTAAAAATCTCATGCTATCATGTACTCATACTTAAATCTAAAAGTACTATTTTGCTCACTCACCTGCCTCCGTCCTCAAATCTAAGCAAAGAGTAGAACTCCCTTGGCATCTGCAATATTGATTTATAGCCAGGGATAAGTAGCCACATCAGTCCTGTGGGTCCATTCCACTTGTTCCAGAATGGATCTGTTCTTGCTACTTAGTTATTTCCCTGGAGCTTCAAACCAGTCCTTGTGTCTTGATTTCATATATAGATCTAGACCTGCCTTTCCCCGGGAGGATGTGCTCATCTTCCTCACAGAATGCTACCTGTGGGAGCAGAGGATCCCTCAGTAGTTATCCCTAGGGCCATAAGTTCCCAGCATTGCCTCCAAGAGATAATGCTAGTGGTTTCAATTTCTCAGCAAACAGCAATTGCCACCCCCCCCAAACTTTCCACCTGAAAGGGAAGAGGTATAAACAGTTCTGAACAGTTTATAAGACTGTAAGCTTCCTGCTCTTGCTTCTCTCTCAGTATGCTCAAGATATTCCCTCCAGCTTGGTTTCTGGGACATCTCAGAATTCTGATGTTGTTCAAATTTTAGCTACAATTAATAGGCCAGAATAACAAGGAAGAGATGCTTTTGATATGTACTTTTTTTCCCCTTTGGTACCGGGGATCAAACTCGGGACCTTACGCTTTCGAGGCAGGCACCGGAACCACTGAGCTAAATCCCCGGCCCGATATGTAGTCTTTATAATAAACTACCTTTTTCAGAATACAGCTTTGATGAGGTGATATAGATTTTAATAAGAAAAACTTGAAGAATGAAGATGGCATGTTGTCTAACATTGCCTTCCATTGTAAACATTAAAAATATTGCTTATTTTAATATTTATTTTAATTACTAATTTTGACATGATTATTGACTTACTGGAAAGTTGCAAAAAAAGCAAAACAAGAGAGAATTTCTATAACACATAACATAAGTATACTACACTTGTCAACGCTAATAATTGACATTGGTACAGAACTATTATACTATTAGATTAATTATAGTTATATCAAGTACATCTTTATTTTGATTTTTCTTGTCTTTCCTCTATCCCTTTTCTGTCCAGAATTCAATCCAGGTTTTCACTTTGAAATTAGCTACTACAAAACTAGTGTGTTCTAATCCATGACGATTCCTTACCCTTGTTCATGATCTTGACAATAGTGAAGATAGAAATCAATTATATAATGCACCTCACTAGTATTTGTTGGATGATTGGATTGAAGTTCTGTCTTCAGGAAAAATACTTGGACTATGTAAGCAGCCTTTTCTCCAAAACTTCTGGTGTCTGATTTTGGCATCCGCTTGTTTTTCCTGCCATTACTCAAACCCGACTCTTATCCAAATTCTCTGCACTGGTTTTCTTCAGTAGCCCCCTAACTGGCCCTCACTCCTACACTTGCCTCCCCTTTGCCAGTGTTAACAGAGCAGCCAGAGTGTTCTTTTAAAAACTTAATTAGCTGATGCTAATCATGAGCACTCCCTGATTAAGGGCCTCAGGACTTCTCACTGAGCATGCACAGCTTCCATGATGGGGTCTCCTCCTGTCTGTCCAAACTCATGTCCTGACCTCAGATCACTGCTGGAGCACCTCAATGGGCTGACTCCAAAACTACCTTTCTGATCAGCCTTGAAATTTAGAGTCAACACTTGATGATTTAGGGTGGATCTGTTGAATAAAGCAACATAAAAACCACTGATCGTTAGAAGACATTTAAAGTACAAGAGATTTTTTTTTTTTTTGGAAAATAAAATCCACATTTTGCCTTTATTTTCACTTATAAGTTTGACCAATCACCTGACAGTGACTTGATGGCACTGATTTGTCAGGATCATAATCTCCTGGCTTTAACTCAATAGTTTAAAGGTGGTGTGTGCATAAGCAGCAGCACTATAACCATGAGGAAATAGGCAACTCTTCATTTACTAAAATGTTCTCTACTGAAAAAGATAAGGGAAGACCCTAAACTCTTGGCTTGAGGCTGCCCTCATGTCTATGAATAGGTGCAGTATTTATAACTGGACAGCTGTCTGGCTGAGGACTTAAACTTGTGTCTTTTTCTTATCTATTTATAACTGGACAGCTGTCTGGCTGAGAACTTAAACTTGTGTCTTTTTCTTATCTATCTACAATTTTCTTTGAATGAAAATTGAATTTTGTACTCTGGTTAAAGAAGAGTATACAATTAAGAGTATGGTAAAAAGTAAAGAAAATTGGTATTTTTGGGTGCAGATCTTCATTATAATGGATATGCCAGGATATAGTGAGATTTTAAAAACTTTTTTAAAAAGTGAAAATATAGCTTTAATATAAAAAAAGCAACAAGAATGTGTTTCCCACGAAAGGAGAAAAGAAGCCCTCTGATTTTATTTGGAAACACTTTTCAAGCTGGTTAGGTTTGTATTCATCCCAGATAAGATGAGCAGGCTAGGTGCAGGTGGATTATGAAGTCCTGTGGAGGCTTTTGTCCAAGGACTTGAGGTCTTTGCAGCAGGTATAAGGCCCAGACAATGAGAATAAGTCAATTAGGATTAGCAGTGTTTTGGAAGCAGGAAACAAGAACAGGAGAGAGGCTTGTCACAGGAAAATGCAGATATAATATGAGTGTTTATTTCTCTTTATATATAAATTGCTGCTAATCCAGTGAGAGCAACATGTGTTAGCACAAAGCTGCTACATAAGAAAAGATTACTGAGTACTTGAGGCAATTGCCACATTTTGTGAATCATCTAAACCTAGTATACTGTATTAGCTAGACTGGGTACTTTCAGGTTATTATGGTGCTGAAGTGTATTTTCTTTATATTTTAATCCTTACTGTATTTTTTGTTTCATCTTAAGGCAGTGTATTGTACCATATTGTTGTAGAAATTATTTTCTTTCTTCCTTTTGTTTCCTGACATAACACACTTCAGTTAGATGGGGTGCCTTGGTTAGACTTGTCTAATCACTTGGTTTATGACTCATAAATTACAATGAACCTGCATTATTGCAACCCTAACAAGAAACTACTGCTGAACAATGTGAATTGCAAATTTAATCTAGTCACATGGAAGGAAAACTCTGTTCACATATTTCTGACACTGTTACCATACTTCAAGTTTTAGTCCATTTCCACAAATGTAATCTGCTACAAATGTAAATAATTGTTTCTATACCTAAAAACTTAGCATACAAGACTCTATTCATTTTGGAAACTGAAAAAGTAGAAAACAAATCAAAGATTTGAACCTAGATATTAAAGGTAATGAACCTTTACTTTTAAAGCTCTTCAAGTCATCTCCTCAGGTCTTCAGAAATCAAAACAAGCTGATTCCGACACAAGCTGTCACCTCCCCTACTGTTCCCCCACGTGATGTTCAGCCATTGAGGACATTTAAAACGGGCTTATTAAGAGAACCGTGTAACATATTGCTTTATTTTAAACAGGTCATTAACTCAAGATGAAAAAGAGAGTTTTGCAAGGTTTCCCACTAATAAAGAGAAACACCTGGAACTAAAGCATGCAAAAAAGATCACATATGCTTATAAAAGGCAGTGGACCAAAACTTGAAGTATGGTAACAGTGTCAGAAGAAACCAATGAGACTGAAATCCAGCAGGGAAAACATTAAATTCTGTAGTGCTAAGTATAGCACATGGGACAAATTGTGGTGATGTATGTGAACTACAAATGGCGTAGGCAGCCTTCTCCCTATAGCATTTCTGGTCATTGCAGCCCTCATGGCTTCTCACTTGTACTGGCTTTTCTCACTCCTTGCTGCTTTCCTCGGATGTTCCACATTCTTGGCTTCTCCAGCTTCCTGGAGTCTCCACTGCACTTTGATCTTCACTCTCACAGCTTCACTATTGCCTGTGTAAGGCACACTGCATGACCTCCCAGGCTTCTGAAATTTTGGTGGAAGCCTGCCTGACCCCACAACCCCTGCATTCTGCATACCTGAAAACCAACACCATATGGATAACACCAGCATCTACTGCCAGCTCAAGCAGTAGGCACCCAGCCCTTTTGCAACATAGCTACGGAGGCCTGAGTGCCTGGATGGCTGAGCATAATGAACCAAATCCCAGAAAATCAATTCCCTAGGTGGCTTTCTCCTCCCTTCTTTGGTGGAGTGTACTGGGCCTTTCTTCTCAAAGAAAAGCCTCATTTTTGAAACCTCTTAGCCTGGGAAGGGTATGGCTGTGCTGATACCCAGGATGTCCCCAAGGCATCCTTCCTATCGTCCTGATGCAAAGTACTTGGCTTCTTCTTAATGTGAATCTTTTCAGCAACAAAACATCTTTGTGGAGTATTTTCTTTCTGAAAAAACTGAAAACACTTTAATGAACTTATTGCTTTTGCTTTTCAGCATAAACCTAGCTAAAAGTCCCTAATAGTATCCATACCACAGCCCCAATGTTGGGCTGTTGAAATTTCCTTCACCAGATTAGTTAATCTGCTGCCCTTTAGCTCAGTCTCCCACAAAGTCTAAGAACATGAGCAAAATGTAGACAATTTTTTTTTTTTGCCAAAGAAAAAAACACATGGTCTTAAATCCAACTGCCTTCTGAGTCTTTCTTCCCAAATGAAACCTCCTGAACCTGGTATTTACCATCAGCCTTTACATTAACATTCTGGTCTTCTGAGCTCTGACCAGAATCTTCCATTATGCTCAGCGTACAGCATGGAGGGCTGTTTCTACCGCCAGCATCTCCAAACCTTTCCAAACTCCTCCTGCAAACCACTTCCAAAGGCTTCTGAACCACGTGGTCAGGTAGTGTCACAGCAATGACTCCAGTTCTCTGGTACCAAAATCTGTCACAGTCACTTTCTTGTCACTGGAACAAAATACCCGACACTCTGAACTTACAGGGAGATAGGCTTATTTTGGTTTATGTGTCAGTCTATAGTCAGCTGGCTCCAAAGCAGGAAGGCTGATGAAGGAGAACTGCTCAGACCATGGCATTAAAGAAGCAGAGAGCATGAAGGGAGAAGCAGGGAAAGAAGATATACCCTTACAGGTCACACCCCCAGTGACCCATCTCTTTTGATCATTTTGATCATCTCTTTTGATCTTTAGACCCCACCATCTAATGGCAACTCAGCTATAAGGCCCTCAGAATCCAACAAAATTTCAAAAGCTCTGCCTGTGAACACATAAGCTTTGGGGGGACATCTAGGTATAAATCATAAAATGAACCTTTTATAAAGTTTATACTGTACTTATTAGGGCCAATTTACTTCCTAGTAATTTTATGTCTATTTGGAGTGTACGCATTCAAAGTTATGTCTGCCTCCCATTATAGTTTCTGTGAGTGTTATCACAGTGATACAGGCTATTCATTGGGAAGGAATCTACTTATTGCAGCACAGTTTAAAACAGACTTTAAAATGTATTGTTGTTTACTGTTTACAATCTCATTTATTGGGGCTATCGCTTTATTATTGTTTTTCCTTCTACAGAAAAGCATAAACTCTCCAGATGTCTTCCAGTAATGACAAGGTTTGTATCCCAGTGTTACAAAGAAACACCAGAGGCCCTCCTGGGATGACTGCAAGTGACCTGAAGACATGTACTGAAAGGATTGTGTTAAGTTTTCATAACCTCTCCTACCAAGTAAAAATGAAGAGTGGCTTTTTCATTGGTCAGAAAACAGTTGAGAAAGAAATATTATCCAATATCAGGTATGTGCATGAACTTTTTAAAAGACCACTTTATTGACCTACAATGGATTTCACAGTTTTTCTCTGCTGGGAATATTGTGTGCATGCCTCTGTACAAATATTTAGACAATACTTTCATTGCTATTGGCTAAACTAGTTTTTATTTCCAGAATTGGACTGAAATGATTGTTTTGCTTTGTAAGTAGTATATGTTTAACTTTGACAGGAGCTCATGAACTTTTGAAAAATGGTAGTACTATCCCCGGTACCAAAAAAAAAAAAATGGTAGTACTGTGTGCATTCACCCTTGTTTGAAAAATTGAACAATTAATATATCATTTAGTTTTTTTCTGAGTAAGTCTTACGTTTTGGTGGAAAGAAGCTTTGATGTATAATTTAATGCTTTTTGATCAAGAGAATGTATTTATAACCTATGAGCTTTAGTTTTCCAGTCTGTAATAGAAGACTTGCTGGTGAGTTAGACAGTTATTAGGTATGTGTGCCCTATATGTGCTTTATATTCTAGTAACAAGAAGCTTGCTATACTGTGAAGTACTTTGTTTTTCAAATAGATCTGTTTTAAGTGAATTGCCTGTTTATAATAGCTCGTAGTCTGTAATAATTTACTCAATTTTTTTCTCCATTATAGAGACAAACAAAATATTTATAACATAACTATAGTTTAGCTTACATTACACAGTTGGAAGTCCAAATTGATGAGAATTTGGTTTTCAAATCAATGCAGTTATTTCTGTTTTAAAAGCACCTAGTAATTAGGATTTTCATTCTTTTCATCCAGCAGTGAATTTTGCATTCAGAGCCTGGTGTTGAGTGGGAGCTAGTGTGGGAGGGAAATGAGCCTTTCTATAGAACCTGCTCACTACCAGATATCTGTTAGTCCACAGATGCTAGCCATCAGGGCTGCTACTGTTTCTCTCAGTTCTAGAGAACTGAGCCTACACTTCTTCTTTATGGTGTTGAGAAGTGAATTTGGGTTTGGTCAAAGATATGAATACTGAAAAATTGAAAAAATCTTTGTGAAATGTAATAATCAAAAAATGTTTGTCCCTTCATATTTTGTGATAAAAGGGTAGAAGATAACAGAAGTGAATATGTACAGTTGAACAGGTGTAAAGGGCATGTTGTGTGAGAGTACATTTACTTTGCTTATCTTTTCAGCCTAGTAAGTTGGTGATTTGATGCTCTAAGTGTCTCATCTGCTCAAAGCTTCACAGTTTTTATGGCTAAATAGTATACATTTATGTAAATGGAAGTCATCATCTTATACTTTTGTAGGCACATAAAACTGCAGTCAAACCTTCAGTTCTTTTGATTTTTATAGTTAAAAAGACAGTGAGGGTTGAGATTCACTTACTCACATCTCTAGTTAGATAGCCATGAAAAAGACCATCTCTTTATTGTCTTCAGTGTCTCCAATCTTTCTCCTGTCTGCCAGTTTCTAGTAAATAGAGTAAATAGAGTAAATAGAGTCTCTGGGCTATGAGAAGGTTTGCTCTCATATCCTACTTTTGATTTTTGTTTGATAACACCATCACCACTCAGAAAGGAAAACTGTTCCAAAAAAACTGATAACAATCTTGATTTTCCTTTGGATTTTTTTTTTGCCTTTTGTAAAGAAGAGGAAGATAAAACAGAATCTGACCATGTGAATTCAAAGGATTTTCCTCCCTTATGAAACATCTTTCTATTATGCTTAGTTTGTCTGCATACACAGTAGTTGAGCTTTTTCTCTCCAGTGCTGAAAATCTATGGAAAAAAAAATCATTCATTCCAGGAGATGTGTGGATATCATGTAATCACAAGGGAACTTCAATTACTCTCTTGAAGAATTTTGATGTAACAATTCATTTTGAAATAACTTAAAATTTAGGCCTTGCATGAACATAACACTACCATCCAGATTTCCCAGCTGACTAAATTTCACTCTATTTGCTCCCATCATTATAACTCTTTTTGTAGCCATTGTCTGTAGTGGTTTTGGGGAGTCACCTGAGAGCAGGTCATTCACACAGTGTTCCTATATCACTAAGTCCTTCGGTATATACTTTCCAGAAAGAAGGACCTTTTTCTGTATAATCACTCAGTCATTGGCAGGAACCTCAGAATGAAGGCAGCAGTAGTCCTGAGGGCCACCCGTCATCATGCTCCTAATGTAGTTGACTGACCACCACATCACGTGTTTTCAGTCTTATGCAGTCAGGTCCTTTCTGGTCCCATCCTACCCTTGGTTATATTAAAATTGATTGTGTGGTCACATTACTGGCTGTCAGACTTTACCATAAGGCCACCATTTTCCTCTTTGTACTTCTGAGAGGAGATACTCTGACATTATTTCCAAATCTTGTTCTTCAATAAGCTTCCACTCCTTGGCCTCAGCCCTCATTGATGTCTCCTGTCTGAATCAGCAACCACTGTGATAGTTGCCAATGGGTGATTCTCTGCTTTTATCATTACATACTTTGTATTTTATTAAAAGGGAAAAGTGTCATTCATCATCTTTCATTTATATTTTATTCAGTAACCATGGATCATCATCATCATCTTCATCATCATCATCATCATCTATCTTGATATTTCTACTGTTCCTGATTTGGAATGTGGTAGACTTTTCAAAAGTTCCATATCTCCTTCTTTCTTTTGATTTATCCCCTCAGTCTTTAGTATTTCCTGGGCACAGAAAGCAGTCCCAGAATTACTGTGCAGTAACCCTGATGTTCATTTTTGTGGAGGTTGGTATTTAAGCTAAGATCTGGATGTTCTGAGTGTTCATGGACATTTGAGTGTTGTTGCTCCTCAATGAACAGACCTAGGGAATATATACATGCATATCCATATATACACGTGCACACATATAATCTATAACTTTGTTAAACAACAGCCTCCTGTGCACAGATGCATGGGTTTTTTGTCTTAGGAGGGATGAGAAAAGAAGTAGATAGCAGGCAGCTACTCCCATTGTACCCTGAGTCTTTCTATGTCTCCATGTTTGTAAAATCTCAAAAACTTAAAAATCTGGCTCTTGTCATTCTTGACATACTTACTGTTTTGCTCAGTCAATTCTATTGTTTATAAGCATGTGCTCAGCCTCAGCTGCCTCCTCTCTTCATCCCCTGCTTTGTGGCTCATGGTCCTGGGATCTGGCAGTTGCTGCACCTTTACCCAGAATATCCATCGTCTTCCTATTGAGAAAGGGAGAAGAATGGCAAGCGTAGTAGAAGTGATTAACACAATATTTAAACATGAAATAACAAATAGGAATGTAAATTTTCTTCCAGGCAGAATATTCCCCTTTTAAATAAATTATCTTTTACTCCTTGATTTTTGTATTTTATTGGAAACATTTTTTTGTTATTTTCTTCATAGCAGATCTAATTCATTAAAAATGTAGAGATTTGTTTACTGAGCAAATGTTGAATGCCTGTGCGGTGCTTGGCATTGTGCAAAATGTCTTCGGTTCTCAGAAACCTCATAGTCTAATGAAGGATTCAGAAAACTAGAGGACTAGAGAATGCTTACTTTTTTTTCTCTGACAGAAGTATTAAAGACACATTAGAAGCTACTAACTGAGTTGGAGTCTGAGCACATGGGAACCAAGAAGTGAAAACGCACATGCTTGAAAGTGTGGGTATATGTAAAGAGGCACAGTATGCTCCAAAAAATGGCGCTGACATCTCTTGCCTGTAAACAAAACAAGACGAAAAGATTAACCACCAGCCACTAAAATGTAATAGATTTGACAGGAAACCTCAAACAAGTTTCATTTCATATACTGTGTCCTCCTGTTATTACCTCCCTACCATGGGGAGGGGAAAGAGAAAAGTAGCAACATAACGACCCAGTTCTCTTGGGAAAGTTTTACAGTAAAAGGAGAGATAACTGCACACAGATACTCTAAATCAATGAGTAAGATTAAAGATAGCTTGTGAAGGGTGATGAAGGATGGAGGGGAGGGTGAGGAGACCAGGGAGATGTGGATCACAGACTAGAACAGGAATTGGCAAACTCTTACAACAAAGGGCCAGATGATAAATATTTTCAGCTCTTTGAGCCATGCATCTGTGTTGTAAGGAGACTGCCTTTATAAAATGAAAGTCATAAACACTAGATAAAGTGTGGAGCGTGGCTCTGTCCCAAGCACACTATACAGAGAACAATGGCCAGCTCTATTGTGCTAACCCCTGGGCTGTAATATATACTCCAAGAGGGAAGGACTGTCTTTTCTTTTGTTTATCAGTTTATTTTGTTTTCAGCTCTACTCAGTAGAGTAGAAAAATGTCTTGTATGTACATAGTAGACACTTAAAAATTATTTGAGTGAGGGAGGTGGAGTTAGACACACTGATGGGAACTTTGCACTTGTGATGATACATTATTGAAGTTTCCTGTAATGCTTGGGCATAGTGTCACAGGAAGTCAAACTAAGCAACTTGTTAAATTCTTTATCTCAACACATTCACATTCAGTTTCTGGTTAAATCATTCAGACTTGCTTATTTGTTATCTGAGTATTTTAAAAACCTGTAAAGGTTTTATGGCAGTGAAGCATTAGTGAATAGCTAGCTTGTTTTTTTATCATTTTAGAAACAGTTTCTAGGTAGCTATTAAATAAGATATATCAAAACCGGTAGATAAATGCACTTTGACAAATTCATTGGGACTGTTTATGTGGTGCTCAACATTGAATTCACCAACTCACGCATGCTAAGGAACATCTCTACCATTGGCCTATATCCCCAGAGCTTTCTTTCCCTCTGAGTGTAATTAATGTCAACAAAAGAATAAGACTTTTCTGTATTACACCTTGTTCCAGGGTTATGGAACTCCTGGCGTCTGTCTGATGTTTCAGTGAGAAGTACCTCAGTTTATGAGCAAAGTGAAGAGTACATTTATAATCCACCAGCCATTGTATAATTGTGACAGTTCAGGGACAACAGGCGGTAAATGCTGAGGTCCTGTTGGATTCCTGCACTATGGTGCAGTTACACTGGGAAAATTATCACTCATGAAAATTGTGCAATCATACTATTGACCTCTGTGGAAATCATTATCTATGAATGAAATTACTGTCAGCTTTGACATTCCACTTGTACTAGACACTGTTTTCTCTGTGGACTACATCTGTTTTTATATAAATATATACAATTGTAAATGGTCAGTTTACAATAAAATAAAAATTAAAAAGATGTATTCTAGTGGATGTATAGAATAATTTACTTATATGTTTGTGATATATAATATCACAAACCCCTCCCTTCCCTCACAACTCACCCCATCACCAGGTTCCCTTCCCATCTCCATAAAGTCTACTTCCCTACTTTCTATCATCTGAGTAATACATCTTGACCAAATTACCAATTATAAAGGGAGACTGGATCTAGACACTTGGGTTTTAAAAAGGCTGTCAGGCCTCTTTTGCATCATGTTCATCTACCTGAAGTGGCTGATCCTTGATTCTGAATTTTCCAATTTGTTCTACTTAAATATTCCACTGTTACCTTTAGATAAAAGTCAAAATATTTGCCTGCTTGTTGGGTCTCAGTACAATCAGCCCTGATGTAATTTTTTCCACCTTCCTACTCTACCAGAATATTCCATTTCCTCACACATTCACATCCTATAATTTGTTTGAAAAGTACTCCTGTGTGTTCTGTCCCTGTAAATCCTAAAGGGCATCCCATACTAGGGTGATGTCTCCCTATTCCAAACAGCACTTTCATGTCTACTTAATGTATCTTTAGCAAGAAAGGAAATAACCTATCTGGAGGGTGTTTCATTTTATAGTTGGTAAGATGTTTTTCTTAAATTTTAAGGATTGATGATGGTTTCTTACCCTTTGAGTGCTTCATGCTAACCTTTGGATTTCTGTTTAAGAAGTGTTGATTTTTGGTCTAACATTTTCTGTGCTGAGAACACTGCCACTGGCATTCTACTAATCCATGATTAATTCATGGTGTAGGACTTCACTAGGTTGAAGGTGAGGTGATTTGTAAATACTGATAAACATTTCAGTAAGTCCCCAACTTACGAACATTCGAGTTGGGAACTTTCACAGATACAGATAGACCTCAAATTATGAACATTCATAGATGTGAGAAAATCTTGGAAGTAGCTCACTTGTCTGCCAGATATTGTCACACTTGTGCTGCTGTGTGCTTACTGTACAGTGTGATAGTGTAACATAGTACAATGGAGACTTACTGTAGTTTTGTGTATGTTTGGTTTTTTGTGCTTTATACTATATATTTGTGTCAAAAGTGTATATGACTAACTTTGTCAGACTTACAAATGAATCCGGTTTAGGAATGTTCTCCTGGGAAGGAACTCATTCATAGGTAGAGAACTTACTGTGCTCAGAATCTGTAATGTACTTAAAACTCTTAAAAGGTATAAATGTAACCAAAATGTTTCAAGACAATCTGTTGCTTATCTCAAAGAACCTTGAACACTGAATGTTCCAACAAGGCTACATAGTTTTGAGAATAAATTAATTTATAGGAACCTGAACCATGTTTTCTTATATGTCTTAACTACTGATTTACATACTTCGTAAACTAGTCTTTTATTAGTCAATGATTTTTGTTCTCTTTTTACATGTAGGTACTTGTTTTCTGTCCAGTATCATACACCCTCATTGAATGTATCCAATGCAGACCTTAAAGTAATATAAATTAGTTTAAAGTGGAACAATAAGTTGGTATGTTCTTGTATTCACAGTGGAATCATGAGACCTGGACTCAATGCCATTATGGGACCCACAGGAGCAGGCAAATCTGTGTGAGTATAACAGAAAATACAAGTAATCCTTTTCTGTGCAGTTTCAGTGTGGTTTTAAAAATGACTTTTACATGTGCAGATGTTGGTTAAAATTTTCCTGTGCATGACCAAGCTGGTTCTAAGGAGCTGTGAATAACATGCAGCTGGGCCAGCTTGTGGGTTTTTGTCAGACTTGAAAGTACCTGAATAGACCTGAATAGATCAGCTTTATTAATAGGAGTTGGTAAAGTGAGTGGTGTACAGCAATGGGACATAGTATGCTCTAATGCAGAGAGAAAAGATTGGGGGTAATATAAAAAATGGAGAAATGAAGCAGAAAGTTTAAGTGAGGGGATAGATCTTAGAAAAGGGAGCACATTGCCTAGATTAAGACCACCGAACATTGACAGCAAGAGGGTCACTTTGAAGGTCTGTGAAGGATATGTCAGTGATATCTTGCTTTTATGGTGTTGGGATTTCTTGTAGCATATAAAGAAAGTGAAAGTAAGAATTTAAGTATATATGTATTTTAATAAGTATTTATATTAAAATTATATATATAATTTTAGATAAGCCATAGAATATCATTGCTAGTTCATTTTCTAACTTGAGCAGAATTTGGATTCAGACTGAGACATGGTCTAAGAAATCCCACATTTATTTTCTTTTATAGATTGTTAGATGTATTAGCAGCAAGGAAAGATCCACATGGATTATCAGGAGATGTTCTGATAAATGGAGCACCTCACCCTGCTGACTTCAAATGTCATTCAGGTTATGTAGTACAAGTAAGTGTCGGTGGTTTTGCCTTTTAGGTTTCCTCTGTTTATGTGTGGGGAAGTGCTTTGGCATATAGTTGATTTATTGTGTTTCTAATGGATGGTGTGAAATGCTCATAGAACCAACTTTCTTTACTTCACCATTCCATAATTCACCATTAGACTGAGGGTGACATTAAATGGAAAGGCAGGGAGTATCTGGAATATGACCCTTATAGGTCAGTAGCATCAATTCTAGCTGCAATAATATTTCTAAAAGAGACTACTGTTGTCCTTTTGTGCCCTTCCCTTATTTTTGTCCTTCCCCTAAAAGATGTCTTTGGCAAATCTTTGTACAAAGCAGCCTGGAAATATCTAATCATAGGCATTATAATTGCCTGTGCTCTCTTTGAGTGTGCAGATCGGGGATGGAAATGACTTCACGGTGCTGTAGCTATCTGTATATAGAGTCACTGAAACTTGTAGAACTAGAAGTTCACAATTAGCTGGACCTTTACCTTGGGTGTGCTAGTTCTGTAATTTAATTTACACATACTAGAATGCTCTTAGAAAAGACTCAATATGTCTCATTCAAATGCCATTTTGTCTAAAGGATCATGTCATGATGAGCACACTGACAGTGAGAGAAAACTTACAATTCTCAGCAGCTCTTCGGCTTCCAATGACTATGACAAATCTTGAAAAAGAGGAGAGGATTAATAAGGTCATTGAAGACTTAGGTCTGGATAAAGTGGCAAATTCCAAGGTAATGTGTGAATTCAACTGAAAAAGATCATAGTTAGGTGTGTTCAAGTTTCCTTGCTGTGACAAAATTCTGAAAACAATTTAAAGAGGAAAGATTTATTTTCTCTTACAATTTTATTCAGCCTATGCTCCACAGTCAGCTGGCTCCATTGCTTTAGGGCAGTGGCAAGGCAGAAACATCCTGGCGGAAGGAAATGACTCACCTCCAGGAGGACAAGAAGGAGAGAGAGCAAGAGCCTACATTGGCAGGCTCCCTCCCTCCACTTTGGTTTTATCCAGGCTGGCAGTCCACTAGAGAGCACTGCCTACATTCTAGGCAGGTCTTTCCCCTCAGTTTGCTTGCCCACATGCCATTTCCTTTGGAAATACCCTCATAGACATATCCAGAGTTGTACCTTGCTAGTTTTTCTCAACCCAGGCAAAATGACAATGAAGATTAACTATCATACCAGGGAAAAAGACCTTCTTTGTGTGATAATGTGACCCTTAATCAGAAGTTTCCTATAACTGGAGGTGCCAAAATTGGTTGCTTTATGGAACCCCGAGAAAAGTGACTAGTTATACAATATGAAAGTGAACATTAGATAAAAAACTGTCTCCACGATGGCTGAATCTGGGTAGGATGGAAAAGTGTTCCTCATGTGGCCTTTTATCAGATCCTCACTCATTTGATACCTTTGCACTAACTTTTCTTCCTTTTTCTTCTCATTTTTAGCTATTCTTCTCCCTCTTTTTCTCCAGGGGAGTTTGTTCTATTCCTTTTTTGAAGTATATTTCTGGAGTTGCTAAATAATTTGAATCCAAAGATTCTTGCTCTTCATGTTTTGCTTTGTTGTAATTTGGCTTTCAAAATTATGTTGAGTCATATTATGAATTACTTCTAATTTGTGTAGTGTTCAAATGCATTTCTTTTGGCAGTTTTGTCTCTTGTCCCCTTTTTTCTTCTGTTCCTTTTTCCTTTTTTCTGCCAGTATTTTTTTCCATATTCTTATTTGCCAGACTCTTTCAGGTTTTAATGATGCAGTTGTAAGCAAGAATAACAAGGAGAGAACAAAATTACTCCTCTTTTGTGGGATTAGGAAGAGAAAATGAGAGAAATGAGTGAATTTTACAATTGTTGAGTTCCCATACAGTGTTAGCTGAGCAGATCTTTTGAGCTTTGTGAGTTATTTAGGTTGTAATGGCTGTGGTTTAGCCTACATCATATCTCCTTAGAGGCAGTCGACCCTTAGGGATTCTGCTGGCTGTTCTTTTCCATGAAAGTTTCTGGCAGTCTTTATGTGAAGCATATTGTGTTTCAAGAATAACCTTGGGATGCAGCTATTTATTACTTATTTTTGTTTTATGAGTGATTGGGTTTTCTTTGGTGTGACTCTGTTCATTTACTTGATTTTTTCTTTCCATGAAGCACAATTTTAGGTATACAATATGTTTACATTTGTCATTGGGTGCTTGTACCTGTACATGACGTATCTTGGTTTTCATTTTTTCCCCCATTACCCTCTCCCCCTCCACCCTTCCCTATTTACATAGACTTCGATTCCATTTTTTTTCTTTTCTCATAATTTTTCCTTTCCATTCTTTCTTTGCCCCATCTCCTCCCACCACCCCTACCCCCTTTGGACCTTTTCCTATTTCAAAGAATCAATTATTCATTATTCATCCTTTTAATCCTTATTTACACTCTCAGTTTCTCACACTAGAGAAACTATTCGGTATTTACATTTGTGTGTCCTATTTATTTCACTTAAGAGTATGGCCTCAATATGCATCCATTTAGCTATAAATGACTCTAGTTTCTCATTCTTTATGGCTGAGTAGTACTCCATTTTATAAGAAAAAAACCCACATTTTCTTTATCCAGTTTCCAGTTGATGGGCACTTGGGCTGTTTCCAAGCTTTAGCTATTACAAACTGTGCTGCTATAAACATGGGTGCACATATATCACTGTGGTATGATTCTTTTAATTCTTTTGGAAAGATACCCAGGAGGGGAATAGCTGGGTCAAATGGGACTTCCAGTCCTAGTTCTTTGAGGTATCGCTATACTCATTTCCACAGTGCTTGCACCAGTCTACACTCCCACCAGCAGTGGAGCAGCGTTCCTCTTTCCCCACAGCCCCTCCAGCATTTGTTATTGGTTGATTTCATGATAGCAGCCATTCTTTCTGGTGTGAGGTGGAATCTCAGCATTGTTTTCATTTGCATCTCTCGAATGACCAGTGATGAACATTTTTTCATGTTTATTTTACTGCTTTTACTTCTTTGCCTGAGAAATGTCTGTTCATTTCAGATGCCCATTTTTGAATTGGGTCTTTTAATTTGGGAGGGTCTGATTTTTTTCAGTTCTTTATATATTCTAGATAGTACTCCTTTGTCTGAGGTACAGCTGCTAAAACTTATTTCCCACATTGTAGGTTGTCTCTTAGCTCTGTTGATGGTTTCTCTTGCAGTGCAGAAGCTTTTTAATAAGATGAGATCTCAGTTGTTGATTCTTTGCGTGAGTTCCCGTGCTACTGAGGTTTTGTTCATAAAGTCTTTCCCTATGCCAATATCTTCAAGAGTTCTACCTAACTTATCTTCCAGCAACTTTAGTGTTTCTATTTTAATATTTAGATCTTTAATCCATTTCGATCTTAGTTTAGTCCATGGTGATAGGTATGGGTCTAGTTTTAATCTTTGGCAGGTTGAAATCCAGTTTTTCCAACACTATTTATTAAATAGGCTATCTTTCCTCCAATGAGGGTGGTTGGCTCCTTTGTCAAAGATGAGGTGGCTGAGTATGTCTGAAGTTGTTTCTGCATCTTCTAATCTATTCCACTGATCCTCGGGTCTGTTTCTTTGCCAGTACCATGCTGTTTTTTATCACAGTAGCTTTGTAGTATAGTTTCAAGTTGGGGATTGTGATACCCCCAGCCATGTCTCTGTTGCCTAGAATTGCTTTTGCTATTCTAGGTCTCTTCTGATTCCAAATGAATTTTTGGATTGTTTTCTCTAGTTCTGTGAAGTGTTGGAATTTCAATCAGCACTGCATTAAATCTATATAGTAGTTTTGGAAGTATGCCCATTTTCACTCTATTGGTTCTTTCTACCCAGGAACAAGGGATATCTTTCCATTTTCTTATATCCTCTTCAATCTCCTTTCTCAGAGAGCTGTAGTTTTCAGTGTAGAGGTCTTTTGCTTCCTTTGTTAGGTTGATTCCTAGATATTTCATTTTTGGGGATGCTATTACAAAAGGAATTGTTTCCCAAATTTCTCTCTCAATGAGTCTGCTATTTGTGTATAAGAAGGTTATTGTTTTGTGAGTGTTGACTTTATATCCAGCTACTCTTCTGAATCTGTCAATTAACTCTAGAAGTCCTTTGGTAGAGTTTTTTGGGTTTTCTATGTAAAGTATCATATCATCAGCAAATAATGACAGTTTAACTTCTTCCTTTCCTATCTTGATTCCTTTTATTTCTTTGTCTTTTCTAATTGCTGTGGCTAATGTTTCCAGAACTATATTGAACAGGAGTGGTGATAGAGGGCATCCTTGTCTTGTTCATGATTTTAACGTGAAAGTTTTCAGTTTTTGACCATTTAGTATGATGTTGGGTGTTGGTTTTTCATAGATAGCCATAATCAGGTTGAGATAAAGACCTTCCATGCCAATTTTCCATAGGGTTTTTATCATGAATGGGTGTTGGATTTTGTCAAATGCCTTTTCAGCATCTATTGAGATGATCATATGGTTTTTGTCCTTGACTCTGTTAAAATAGTGTATTACATGTATTGATTTATGAATATTGAACCATCCTTGCATCCCTCGAATTAATCCGACTTGGTCAGGGTGTATGATCTTCTTGATGACCCTCTGTATTCTGTTTGCCAGTATCTTGCTGAGGATTTTCGCATCTATGTTCATTAGGGAGATTGGCCTGTAGTTCTCTTTTTGGGTTGGGTCTTTACCTGGTTTTGGAATCAAAATAACACTTGCTTCCAGGAATGAATTTGGAAGCCTTGCTTCCCTTTCAAGTTCCTTGATGAATTTAAAGAGTAATGGCAATAGTTCTTCTTTAAATGTCTTATAGAATTCAGCATTGAAGCCATCAGGACCTGGGCTTTTCTTTGTTGGTAAATATTTTATTACATTTTCAATCTCACTCATTGTAATTGGGGTGTTTAGAATTTCTATTTCTTCTTCATTTAACTTTGGCAATTCATATGTATCTAGGAATCTGTCTATTTCTTCTGTGTTTTCCATTTTATTGGAGTACACGTTCTCGAAGTAGGTATTGATGATCATCTGGATTTCTGCTGAGTCTGTTGTGACTTCCCCTTTTTCATTCTTAATTGCATGGATTTGATCCTTTTCTTTCCTTTTTTTTTGTAAGGTTGACTAAAGATTTATCAATTTTATTTATTCTTTCCAAAAACCAACTCTTTGATTCATTAATTTTTTGTATTGTTCTCTTAGTCTCCATTGCATTGATTTTTGCTCTGATCTTTATAATTTCCTCTCTTGGAAGCACAACGTTTTACCCTGTATTTATTGTGCTAATTTACTTGTTTGAATTTTCATAGAAATCATGCTAAGGCAGTTACTGAATTCTTAAAATTCATGTTCTTAAAATTCAGCTTTTTATAATCTCCCAATGACAATTGATTGAAATAATTTCAAATTTTATGATATTTTAATAAAAATGAAAATATTTTCTTCCTGAGGTAGACAATCATGCGTGGGAAGGAGCTGGTGTTCCCTACCTATGCCAATCAACATTTTATTCTGTCTTCTTTGGTTATGTACCCCAGGAGAGAGCAAAGGCTGGGAGTCCTTCACCACTTCCATCTTTTCTGTTGTTTGCCAAATGACCAGTGGGGGTGGTTTAGCATAGATCCAGTTGGAATAGCTCTCAGCTGCCCAGCTCACCAGTACAAACTAGTGTGGCGATATTTTCAGTGCACTCCCAAGGCTCAGCCTAGCTCAAGCACTGAGACACATCCGGATCTCTGGCCCCCTTTGTGAAGCCCTGCAGAAGTGGGAAGTAATTATCTGCATTAGAGTGAGTTGGGTGGGTGCAGCTACTCCTGCACAATCCATTGCCCAGGTCTCTGGTGTTCTGAGATCTAGCTCCCTTGCATATGCATCCCCGGCTTCCAGGTCCCAGAGCATTTTCAGCTGGCCACCAAGCTTCTGATCTTAAAAGGGAAAGGATTTCCTCTGTCTTGTGTGTTGCCAACTGGCTACTCACCACCTAGTTTTCAGTGGAATTGTTTCAGTGTTGCCCCTCCAGAGCCAAACGTAGTCTCAAAGTAGATCCAAGATGAGAAAGTATAGTAATTCTTGCTGTAGGTTCCCAGAGAAAAAACATTTGAGGAATCTTTGTTTCTCAGAGCAGCTAGCTCCTAATGATCTTCTGAAAGAAGTCTTCCCATTACAACATCAGGAGAATATGTTCAGAAATGCCAAAGACAGTCCTAGAATGCTTTGCAGATCCCAGATCAGCTGTGTGCCTTTCTTATACCATGCTGATTACTGTTACCACTTGTGATTCTGTCTCCTTTCCCTGCTGCCCTTGCCCTCTGCTCTGCAGCCTTGTGCCAAGGTGTTCCCACTCTCTCTGATCCAGTATCCATGGTCTCTGGCTTTTCCAAGGTTCTGCAACTGAACTTCAGACATCCATTACAATGATCAGTTGCTATTTGAATTGTTTTTCATTTTGTTGGTTTTTATTTTTGTGTTCCTGAGAATTGAACTCAGGGCCTTTGCAGTGAGTTATACCCCCTCCCCTTTATTTTTGGTGTTGAGACAGGGTCTCACTAAGTCACCAAGATGCTCAGGCTGAGCTCAAACTCTCAATCCTCCTGCAGAGTTCTAGGATGATAGGCATGTGCCACTATGCCCTGCTTATCTGGTTGTTTTTTATTTTAACTTGCAAAGAAGTAGGCAAGTACTGGCAGCTTCTAACTCATCACCTTGAAACTCTTTTTATGATATATCAAACATAACAGAAATGTAGCGAAAATAATCTGATTATTATAGTGAATGATTGTCAGGTAAATAATATAATAGTATAATTGCTAGTACTATTAACTAATTTTCACTTATTAACATCTTACTCCATGTTTACTTCAGTTATTCTTAATGAAATATTTTAAAGAAAATTATATTTCATACCTGAATACTTACTATGCATTTATAAAAAATAAGGACATTTTCTTTGTTTGTTGTTGTTAAATTCTTTTATTGGTACATTTTAGTTATACAACACAATTACATTTCTCATTGGGAATTGTACCTTTACCTGATGCATCTTTGTTCTTATTTTTTCCCCATTCTTAGCCCTCCCTTCACCCCCTCCACCCTTCCCTATTTACAAAGACTTTATTTCCATTTTTTCCATTTCTCAGCATTTTTCCTTTCCCTTCTTTCCTTTCCTCTGCCCCTCCCTCTACCGCTACCCCTTTGGACCTTTTCTTCCTATTTTGCATTTTTGATTATTCATTCTAATCATTGGTACATTTTAGGTATACAATATAATGACATTCATCATTGGAAATTTGTACCTTTACATAATCTCTCTTGCTTCTTATTTTTCACCCTTGCCCAGCCCTCCCTTCAACCCCTCCATTCCTCCCTATTTACAAAGATTTTGTTCCTATTTTTCCATTTTCTCATATTAATCCCATTCCCTTCTATCCTTTCCCCTATCCCTCCCACTTCCTTCCCCTTTGCCCCTTTTCTTCCTATTTCACATTACCTATTATAGATTTTAGTAATAAGGACATTTTCTTACCAATACCATTATCAACTAACAAAAAGAACAATACCTTTATATCACCAACTATGTGAAGCCCATATTCATTGACATTCCCCAAGTTGTATCCAAATGTCTTTTGTAGTTCAATTGTTAATAGGACCCAATCAAAAACCATGAGTAACATTTGATTATTATCTCTTTGGTGGCTCTTAATTTCAGAATCACTTCCCACTTCCTACCTTCCCCCAAGTCTTCCTACTCCCCTTGACATGCATAATGACTTCTACTGATTGTAAAGGGCCAGATGTCCTGTGGAATATCCCACCTTCTGGATTTGTCTGAAAGGATGAATTAGTGATTCTGTGGTAAATTAGAGTGTTGGCCACATCAGGTTTGGAAAGCTTTGTGGAGATTGAAAAGGTACTAATATGGTTGGATAAAAGTGAACTTTTCAGACTCCAAGTTGAGTCTCTTCTTATGAGCCTATTTGGAGACTTTTGGCAGAGGGTTTTGGGGGAGACTATTGTTGTTACATGAGTAATCAATAGTTATAGATGCTTTCCTTTTCTTCTCTTGTTTTCATCTCCTGTTTAAGACTGATTTTCCTATTTCAGGGCAATATATTTTAGTATCCTAACTTACTTCCTTAAAACTAAATATCTGATTGGATACAGAGCTGAGTGCAGTCGCACACAACTGTAATCCCAGCACTCTGGAAGGCTGAGGTAGAAGGATCTCAAGTTTGAATCCAGATTGGGAAATTTAGTGACTCAAAATAAAAGGTAAAAAAGGGCTAAGGTATGGCTCAATGTGAAGGCTCTAGATTTAATCCTGAGTACTGAAAAAAAAGTATATAGGGAACTATTAAACGCCTGGGATTCATATCGGATCCAACCACTTAGCTGTTCTAAACTGGATTAGTGTACCTATCTGGTAAGAGAAGCGTTTTTTCTTCTTCCAGCTATCCATATTTGCTGTTCAGAATAATGAAGACAATAAGATACAGTGTATCTTATACTGCCAGTATAGGTTAGTTCACCAGAGGTTAGTGACCATGATCATTTTTGTTGATAAAAATATTTTGTTTTAGGTTGGAACTAAACTTACCGGTGGCCTATCTGGAGCAGAAAGAAAAAGGACCAGTATCGCCATGGAGCTGATCATGGATCCTTGCATCTTGTTCCTGGATGAGCCCACTAATGGTTTAGACTCGAACACAGCACATGCTGTGCTTTCACTCCTGAAAAGGTAAGTGCTGTGAGAACACTGTTCTTTCATTTATTTTCTATAATACTCGGTGCCAGAGACCAGAGTGGAATAACAATTTCTTTTTTCCTTGTTAGAGGAAAACACTCAGTTAACACAGAAGTGCTCCCAAGAAAGATGAAACAGAACAGGAGCACATGGAAGGAAGGCTGTGTAGGGCTTGGGGGCTGTTGTGAATAGCAGGAGGATCAAGGAAGATCTCAAGCCTGGATGTGTGAGCTGTGAGAGAGAGACACACCAGGCTGGATCTGGCAGGAGAGAGCTCTATTTGGGATGGGCTGTGGCCTGGGGGGCAAGGAGGCCTACTCTGTGACAATGGAGAGACCAGAACTACAGAATCCAGGGACTAAGGAGAATAAAGGTTGGCTAGGGTACTTTCCTAACAAAATGCCACAGACTGGGTGGCTTAAACAACAAAGATTAATTTTCTTACAGCTCTGAAGGCTGGAAGTCTGAGATCAAAGTGTCCTCAGGGGTGTTTCTTCTGAGTCTTCTGTCACTGGCTTCTGGATGGCCATTGTCTCCGTGTGTGTGTGTGTGTGTGTGTGTGTGTGTGTGTGTGTGTGTGTGTTTGTCTGTGTGTACGTGTGCGTGTTTGTGTGATCTTCTCTTAAGTGGACCCCAAGCAGATTAGACTCACTCGGTGACTTCACGTAATCTGAGTTACCTTTTTAAGAACTCCATCTCCAAATGGAACCACATCCTGACTTAGTGGGGGTCAAGACTTCAACACATGAGATCTGGGGAGGACACAGTTCAGCCCATCCCAGGTAAAATAGAATGTGAGTTGGGTTCTTTGGTGGTAGATTACAGAAACCTCACAGACCACTATGAGGAGTACGGCTTTCACCATCCTTTGGTGATATAGGGAAGATTTTCAGAGTTCTAGAACAGACATGAGCAGCTGTGGAGAGGCTGTATGGGTGGCAGTGGTGAGTGTGAAGACTTCAGGAAGGAGGGTGTTGAGATGTGATGGACCCTTGACTAGAACGGTCATGATGAGGTGCTGAGGAGGGAGTTGGATCTGGGTCTGTTCTGAAGACAGAATCAACAGGTTCAGCTCAGGAAGGGGACCTGGGGTATGATGCTAGAGGCAATGATTTCTAAAACTTGAGGCCTGAACAAATAGAAGAATGAAATAAAAGAAATGACATTTCCTTTAATTAAGAAATAAGTCTGTGGCAGGAATATTTATAGGAAAAATTTCAAAAGTTAAGTTTTGTATATCTTCCTTTAAACTATAAAAAATAATTTGAAATTGTCAGAAAAGTTTCAAGAATAAACAGTACAAAAAAATCCCATTCCTTTTATCGAGATTCTCCAGTTATTACTTTTTACTCCATTTGCTGCCTCTTCTTTCTTCTCTGATCCCACTACATGTTTTTTTTTTTACACCATGCCCCATCACCCATAAATACTGCAGAGTTTAATTCCAAGAAGAAAGGACACCCCACTGCCACCCCCCTCCATGAGGAAGTCAACTACTGTCAGGGTTTCAGCACCATCCAAACTGCAATAGAAGCATTTGTGAACCAAGGCATAACTGTAATTTAAATGCCCAGTGTCACAATCTCTCAATCACTGTGGCCATTCCCTCTGTCCACTATCTGTGGAAACCTTTGTGCCCCATTTTTAAGCTGCCAGACACAACGCCTTGATGGCTTCTACTTTTATCACTATTACATGCCTCCAGGAGCAAGTCTGTCAGCTGGGAGGGTAGAAATGGGAAGGTGTCTAAAATTTTAAACATCTTACATTCGAGGTGTCCATTGTACATATAAGTGATGATGCCAAGTTTGGAGTTCAGGGCATTTTCAAAATATATCCAATATGTTGTCTGCAACTGTGTTAACTGTGTTTATTAGAGAATGATAAAAAGGTATAGAGTACTGTAATTATATTGTTTTTCACTAATTATGAGCTTTTTGTTTTTCACTGTGTAGCACATCAGCAGCCCTCATCATACCCACAGCTCTAATCTAATCTCAAGCACCTCTGGGCACACTCATCATCTGGGGTCAGTTAAAATACACAGTTTGTTTCTCTAGAATGGTGGTGGAGCCCAGACTCTTGGTGGAGGAGACCCTGACACTGATGCCACTGGTCCTCAGACCACACTTAGAATAGCAGGGCTCTCCCACAATCCCATTTCCTGCACCAAATATTTTACCAACTCCTCAGTACTGACTAAAGTTCTAATTTCTGAGTGAAGTGCTCATTATGGGTCTCTTTTTGTAATGTCTTTAGTTATCTTCTTCATCCAGTATCATACACACACACACACACACACACACACTCACACACACACAGTCTTTGATTTGTAACATGGAGCTTCTTATAGCTTCCCAAATAGACCTTTTTATTTCACACTTTGTTCACCTTGTTCTTCTACCTTGAATATCTTTTTTCTTCTGAGCTCACTTTTGTTGAGCCTTTTGATATTCTACTTAGGAGAAATCTTTAGCTATTTTTATTTTACATTGTATTGAAATTATTGATCTTCTGGCCTACTTCTCTTTGAAGCAGAACACTATGAAAATACTGCAAATACTGCTGACTTATAGAGGATCTTATCAAATGTTTAAATTAAAATGATTGTTCTAACAAAATAATTTAATGAAAATTTTAGACAGCAATTTTGGCCTTTGTTTCTTCTTCCTGTAAGTAATAACTCCTGTGAAAATGTACCTTAGCACCATTTCTGCCCCGGAAATTGACCAGGAATCAAATACTAACATTTCCCTTTAGTAACTATGAGCCCTTGGCCAATTGCTTGCCCTGTAAGCTTTTTGTTAAGATAAACAAAATAGTAATATTGGAATTGCATTACAACAACATTGTGAAAATTTAAATGAGTGTACCTTTAAAGCATTTAGCAAAGAAATAGTGTTTAGTAATGCTAGTTGTATTATCAGTCAGAAGAATGAAAACCAATCCTAAAGAGTCAGAAGACTTAAATGATCTGTGAGAACTGGACATATGACTAGGCCTGTAATATTCATTCCCTAGGTAGTTCTTAAACTTTAGTGTACTTATCCATTACCTGGGAAACTTACTTACAACATGGGCTTCCTGTATCTAGCCATTCAAGTTCAGTGTCAGAGAGGACTATCCAGGAATCTGCATTGTGAATACACATTGCGCTGTCTTTTTGCACCATCCTTTTTGCCTATCCAAGTCTTTTTTTAAAAAAGCATTGAATTTAGGTTTCCCAGGCAACAAGTAGATAATATGAGGTGAGATGAGGTGTTAGTAAGAGAAAATAAAGGTAAACTGGGAAAAAATATTCTAATGTCAGGAATACAGTGTTTTATCAAGAAATATAAGGTTCAGTTACTTAATGATTCATTACTTTCTCCTTTAACTTAGGATGTCTAGGCAGGGACGAACAATCATCTTCTCTATTCATCAGCCTCGGTATTCCATCTTCAAGTTATTTGACAGCCTCACCTTATTGGCCTCAGGAAAACTAATGTTTCATGGTCCTGCACAGGAGGCTATGGAGTACTTTGCATCAGCAGGTATGGTTGACTCATTCACACAGATTTTTTATGCCTAGACTACTGGAAAAGTACAGAGTGGGTCAATAGAAGTGCTGTTTGATCTTTGTGTAGATATACCTTGAGTTCTATGACTCTGTTATGGCTTATATCCAGATGTCCCACAAAGCCTCATGAACTCATAAGTGGGGCTTTTCAGCACTCGCTGGATCTCAGGTGTATGATACTGGGATTGAGTGTATGTAGTACTAAACTAGCCCACTGATTGGAATTAGCATAGTTCTGGGTTGGCCAAAAGGTTTTGCTGAAGACACAAGACCCACCCTGGGTGTAGGTGGCATCACCCAAAAGACTTGTAGCCTTGATGGGCTAAAACAGAAAAGCAGGTTCTGTTTGCTGCTTTGCTGCCTCTTGTGTGCTTTGCCATAGACTGTTTCTCTTCTGCCATGTCGCCCTGCTGTGGAACTCGCTGACTATAGACTGAAACCTGTACAAACTATGAGCTGAAATAAAGCTTTCCTTCTTTAACTTTGGGTGCTGAATATTTTGTCTTAGCAATGAGAAAGTAACTAAGACATACTCCAAAACATCTTTGGCCAGTTTGATGCCAAAGTTTTTCTACATTTTGCAGCATTGTTTGATCTCTTCCATCTTTTGTTCTGTTCGAGTGTGCATGCATGCAATTCTGCTTCCCAGGTATGGTAACTTTCTCTGCTAATGTGTTATATTGCCAGTTATTCTGTGAGTTGAACAGTTTTGGAAAGGTCCAGTATCATTCACTTCTTAACTATGTAACAGATGGTTGTTTGTCAACTTTTCTGATAGATGTGCTCTTATTTCACTTTGTCAAGGGCTCATGGAGAAGCTACTGCATTTTCCTAGTAACATTAGATTGCAGATTTAAACTTTAAATGACTTCAACTGATCTTTTAGCCAATGTGATCCCCAGTGCTGAATCTGAATTTGATAGGCTACCATTTTTGACATTTATGGCCTGCCTTTTATTTTAGATTGAATGATGTTATTTTTGTAATGGCTCAGAGAGCACAATTTACCCAAGCATTTAATACATTTTTCTTGCAGCTAGATTTAGATTTCTTTAAAACTACCAATAAGCACTGTAGAATATTGGTAGCTGTTTGGGTTTCAAGAGAAATGATGTCAAGGGACTAGTATAGCATGCTCTATATAGATCAAGATTTGTGTGGGGGATATATATATATATATAGTATTTGTTGGCATTCCTGTTGCTAGGATAAATTACCTGACACCCACAACTTAAAGGAGGAGAGGTTTATTTGGCTCGTAGTTTCAGAGAATTCAGTCCCTGATTGGCTGCCTCCAAGGCAGGAGCATAATGGCAGAAAGGAGTGTAACAAAGCTGCTTAGTTAATAGTGGTCAAGAAGCAGAGCAGGGGAATAGTGCCATAGAGGAAAGGGCAAGAGGACAGATATGCACCCCCAGGTCATCCCTCCATGAACCATCCAGACACATCCCAAAGTGTACTTTACTAATCTCCTAGGCAGCTTCCAAGCTAATCAAGTCAACAAGCTTAACCATCATATTACATCCCTTGTCAAATTGATACCCAAACACATCTCCTTAAAGTGTACTTAATCTCCAAAGACAATAGCAATTTCATAATTCCACCTAACATGATACAACTATCCTGTGCACCACCAAAAATGCAAAAATTTCTTCTTTAACATCTCAGTAGTTACAGTAGTGCTCAAAAGCCTAAGGCATGTCTCCCCTGAGAATCAAGGCAATTTCTTCTCTGTGAACCCCTATAGAAATAAAAATAGAAACAGTCTGTTGGAAAATAAAAAAGGTAAAACTGTTGAAGGCAGAGGCATAGGCAAGGACTTTCTGAACAGAACTCCAATTGCACAAGAAATAATACCAAAAATCAACAAATAGGATCATTTCAGATTAAAAGGCTTCTGTTCAGCAAAGGAAACAACCATCAGAGTGAAGAGACAATATACAGAATGGGAAACATTTTTTGCCAGCTATTCCTTGAACAGGAGGACTAATATCTTGAGTATATAAGAACTCAAAAAAATTAGAACCTCTCAAATAAAAGACCCAATCAAATGGCCAACTGAAAGAAATAGAAACCTCTCCGAAGAAGAAATACAGATGGCCAACAAATACATGAAAAACTTTTGAACATCTCTGGTCATTAGAGAAATGCAAATTTTAAAAAAACACTGAAATTTCATCTTCCTCCAGGAAGAATGGCTATTATCAAGAAATAATAACAAATAATAATAACAAATGCTGGCAAGGCTACAGAGAAAAAGAAACCCTAGTACATTGTTAGTGGGAATTAATGGGTTTGAACTTGTAATCTTTCTGCCTCAGCCTCCCAGAGTGCTGGGATTACAGCTGTGTGCCACCATGCCCAGGTACTTGATTTCTTTTTAATGGGACTAATCTCTTGAGCAACCACACTTCCTTTGTCCTCCAACTTTACACATAATCCCTCTGGGCCAAAAGTTATTTCTGCTCTGATTTTTTTGCTACCAGTTTTCACTGTAAATCTGACTAAAAGCAGTGAGCACTACCTATACTGCATCCTGAACATTGGTCTGCCTCGAAATTTCCTTCACCAGATCAATTAGTCCCCTGGCATTGTACTTACCTTCCCACAAAGTCTCAGGACCTGGGCAAAATGTAGACAAATTGTAGGCAAATGGCATGTACTCTACTTCTCTTTATTCCCATAGTTGAAACCTTATGAGCCTGGCCTTTACTGTAAGTATTCTTATCAGCATTCTGATCTTCTGGGCTTTGATCAAAATCACCCATCTGGCTCTACTTATAGTCTTCTAAGCTTTCTCTTGCCTGATTCTCCAAACTTTTCAAACTCTCCCCACATACCAGTTCCAAAGGCTTCTGAACCACATGGTCAAGTAGAGTCACAGCAACAATCCCAATTCTGGTATCAGTTTTCTGGTAGTTTTCCTGTTGCTAAGATAAATTTATCAACATCCACAACTTAAAGTAGAGGTTCATTTGTCACAAGATTTCAGAAGATTCATTCCCTCATCACCTGGCTCCAAGGTAAGAACATCATGGCAAAAATCTCTGGCATGACAAAGCTGTTTAATTCATGGCAGCCAGGAAGTGAAGCAGAGGAGCAGTGGTGAAGAGAAAGAGGCAAGGAACCAGATATGGATTCTAAGATCAGGCCTCCATGAGCCACCAAGACACACCTGGGTGTGTGCTTTACTAATCTCTTAGGAGGCTCACAACCTGATCAAGTTGACAGTGAAGCTTAATCTATACACTTTGTTAAGAGACAAAAGATTTCAAATATTGTGTGAGTGAATATATAAAAGGAAAAGACATGTTACTGAGGACAGTAGAGACAAGAAGATGAGAGAAGTTGTTGGATCTCTTCCCATGCCTCACCACACTTGCCCGCTGTAAGCAAGTCCTCTTTATTTTCTAAAACCATCAGGTGGTGTTTTTGAGTTGTCTTCTCTCATAGGTTACCACAGTGAGCCTTACAACAACCCTGCAGAATTTTTCTTGGATATCATTAATGGAGTCTCCTCTACTGTGGTGTTAAGTGGAGATGAAGAAGACTATGAAGGTGTGTAAATCTCTTAGATCAAAAATGTTTGCCTAATTAAACTGAGTGAGGTTTAGTAATTTATTAGCCAGTTAAAACTTGGCTTCTTGAATGTTAATGCTATGCTCAATTAATAATCCACCTATAGGTTTTGTTGTCCATGAGTAGTGTCTGTTCTTTTTTAAAAATTTATAAATCAACAGTTGTATACTATCAGTTGAAAGGGGAGTTTCATTAAAAATGAATATGCTGATTTTATAGTACTTCTTAAAAATTAGAAACTTGACACTTTTGGATTTGTACAAATTAGAAACCAAGCATCATATTTTTATATAAACAATTATAATTATATGCTAAAAAGTCTGTTTTAAAAATTAGGGTCCAGATAGTTTTTAAAAAATGAATTCTCTATATCCATAAAATTGTAGCAGAAGTCAGGTTAGCTAGCTTTCTTTTCTAATGTATAAAGCAATGACAAAACTAGCAGTTTTTTATATTCAAACTTTAAAATGTAGACATTATCCCTTAAAGGGGTCACAGAAAAATGAGTTAAATCAGTTGTTATCTTTTAATAATATTTCCCTTCTTCATCTATTTTTATTCTAAAGCCAGTATGACTGAAGAACCTTCAAAGAGTGACAAGCCAGTCATAGAAAAATTAGCCAAGTATTATGCCGACTCCTCCTTCTACAGAGAAACAATAGCTGAATTAGAGCCACTCTCAGGTAGTCTGAAGAAGAGTTTTGGCTTCAAGGAGATAACCTATGCCACCTCCTTCTTTCATCAGCTCAGATGGATTGCCTGGCGTTCATTCAAAAACTTGTTTGGTAATCCTCAGGCCTCCATAGCTCAGGTAACCTGGCAGAGTTCTTAACTGTGCTGTGAAATACTTACGTGGTAGCAATTTGGTTCCAGTGTAGTCTACTTCAGGATTGTGTTTATCATCTACCCATGCTTCCATTTATTTGTCATCCCCACTCCATTTGGGATATAAAAACAGTTGAAAGGAAGCATGATTTCTAAATTAAAATGCAGCTCAGTTTTTACTTACAGATTTTTTTTTCATATTTTCTTTGACTACTGAACTAGAATTGTTGTTCATTTAGACAAGACACAATGGATGATTTGAGGAAAATAAATTTTTTTTCAAAAACCAGAAACTAAAGGCAATATCATCTATATTTGAGGTTTTCCAGTGGCTATCCACTTTCATTCACTGATTCATCTGATAAGTTCAACACAAGATTATGTCTTGCATTTGAGCACTCTACAGAAATAGCAAAAATAAAAGTGCTTTCATGGAGCTTATTTTTTCATAAGGGAAGACAGTTGACTACTGAATAAAGAAAAAATATAGCACATTAAAACAAAACCAGGGTACAATGGTAAAAGGTAAATATTCCTATTTCAAAAAAGGAGGAGTAAGGGGGAAAGAATTGGACCAAAGCAAGACCCAAACTAAGCAGGGAAAATATTAAGTCCTGTATTTCCATATGTAGCATGTAGTGCATGTGATTAACTATGAGTTTCAAAGGCTCAGGTAACCCTGTCCATGTGGCCTGATTGCTGTCTATTCAGCCTCTTGGTCTGGCTCCACTCATGATTTGCAACTTTCTTCAGCTGTTGTTGCATAACATCTCCAACATCCAGGGGTCTCCACTGTACCTTTGACTTCATTCCTACAGAAGTACACACTGTCTTTTCAGGAGCTCTTTGCCTGATCTCCCAAGATTTCCTTTGATATCTGGATGAAAGCCTTCTTGACCCCACAATGCTTATATTCACTGTGATATTAAAACCAGCATCCCAGGGATGATGCCACGGTAGGCTGTCAGTGAGAGTAGTTTCCAGGCACCCCTGGATCATGGCTGCAGTGGCTTCTGAGTGTCTGGAGGGCTGAACATAGTGAAATGTATCCCAGGGGGGCAATTCCCTAAGATCCCTTTCTTGAGCATGAAAACCAGCAGCTGTCTTCTCAGATGAAAGTTTACACTCACAACATGAACAAGGAGAGCTTTATTTTGTTTATAGTTTGAGCCTCTTTTGACCCCAACTTTATACATGGTTCCTTTTGAGCCAAAATTTAAGTTTTACAAATTTTTATCCTCTGCCTTTTGGCTTTAATTCTCACTATAAATCTGCCTAAAAGTAGCCAGAAGTATCATGCTGCAGCCTGAATATTAGGCTGTTTTGAAATTTCCTCCACCAGATTAATTAGTCTACTGCCCTTAATCTCAGTCTCCCACCAAAATCTCAGGACATGGGGAAAATATAGGCAAATTTTCTGCTAGGATGTAACATAAAGGCCAATGTTGATGGAGTCGTTGTTTTTAATGGAAACTTCCTTACCCTGGCCTTTACTGCTTGCATTCCTATCACCATTCTGGTCTTCTGAACTCTGGTGAAAATCACCCATCAAGTTCAGCTCACAACATTCTAAGCCTTCTCCAGCCAGCATCTCTAACCTTTCTAAACTCATCCTATAAACCAGTTCCAAAAGCCTTTGAGCCACATGATCACAGCAACAACTCCATTCCTAGTATCAATTTTTATATTACTCAGCTTTCTTGATGCTGAGACACAACACTCAACACCCACAATGTAAAGAGCAGAAGATTATTTTGTTCACAGTTACAGTCCACAATCACCTACCTTCAAAATTGAGACATAATGACTGAAGGGCTCAAAGGATCAAAGCTTCTTTTTTCATGTTGGCTGGAAGAATAACTGAGGCAGAGTGCCAGAGCAGAAGGAGTAAGGAACCAGACATAGACCTCAAGGCCACATCTTCATGACCCACTGAGACACATCTAAAAGTGTTCTCCACCCATCTCCGGGATGGAGCCCAAAGCCAATCAAGTTAAAACTATCGTAATTGCTACAGTACTCACATATAGCACCACATGGTAAAGTTCCATGAAGAGTGTGTGTGCAACAGTGCCACTCAGCAAAATCCATAAGGGACAGCTATTCAACAACAGCATCATTTGGAAGGTACATTGACAGCTGTTTCGATGAATTGCTCAGCAGCAGGTTACATCAGGGAAGGAGTTTTATTAATTAATCAACACAGTAGAGACATCATTAGTGTTCTATTCCATAACAAACATATGACATCTAACTTAGCATATAGACAGGCAGGAAGTTTTTACAGATAATAGTACTTTTCCCAGGTACCACTGTGCCTTATTTAATACTTATCTAGACATTTGGTCTCTATTAACAATGTGCCTTTGACTTGGCATGAATCTTGGGAACACAAAAGGAGTGTTTCAGGGATGTGGTGCTATCTGAGTTTTTTCCTTGGAGATCATACATGTATTGTGGCTTTCTTTATGCTAAAAATATCCTTCACCAATTACTTCATGTGTTGATACTTTTGTGGTATTGAGCCTTTCTTTAAAGCTTGAAACTTCCCAACATACATGGTAGTATTTTTTTAAGATTATTATTTTCTATCTTTTTAAAATACCCATAGATAATTATACATAGAATTCCTCAAATACATAATCCTTGAGAATTTGCTAATTATTGCATACTTAAGAGCTATTTTATCCTAAAAATAAAAGTGTTGTTTGGAAGCCATCCACACAGATTGGGGAGGTGAAGACAGATGAGGATGCAAAGCATTGCAGCTCAGGTGGCCATGTGAACCAGAGTCCTCACTGGCTGAGGCTGATGGAGAAGCATTGACAGAGGAGAGGGCTAATGGAAGTGCTTAGTTGTCCCAGAGAAAGCTGGCTGGATCCTTTGATGACATTGACAATAAACTTTCCCAAGAAGGCAGGGACTCCACAGAGGAGGTATAGGTGGGGCTCAGCTCACCCCTACTTCCTTATTGTGAAACTTCCATGTGAAAAACTCTGTGTGTGCTTTTAAAATTTTATCTATTCATTTTCCAGTGCTGAGCATAAACTCCAGGATCTGGCCCATGCTAAGCAAGCACTCCATTCCTGAGCTACATCTCCAGCTCTGAAACTGTGTTTATTTCTAATGATAAGTGTAGAGCTACCTTGGTTTCACTTGAACCTCTTGAAGTATAAAATTGCATGTTCACTTGCACAAAAATTGAGTGTCAATTCAAGTTAAAACTCTTAGCCAGGGCCGGGGATTTAGCTCAGTGGTTGTGCCTGCTGCACAAGCACAAGGGCCCGAGTTCGATCCCCAGTACCAAAAAAAGAAAAGGAAAAGGAAAATACAAATGAAAAGTTAAAGAGGCTGGGGATTTAGCTCAGTGGCTCCACATCTGCCTCAAAAGCACAAGGTCCCGAGTTCCATCCTCAGTACCTCCCCCCCAAAAAAACCTCTTAGCAATCTGAACTTTATTTTGTTTCCAAAGCAACTTTGCTAGGTACCTGTGTTGTTCTGCTACCCTGTGTGGTGTTCATGCTCCAGCACCTGGACTGGGCTCTGAAATAGCAGTGCCTGGTGGGATATGGAAGGGAAGTTTAGCTTTTTTCTTTTGTTTAAATTCTTTTATTGGTACATTTTAGGTATACAATACATTTACATTTATCATTGGGTGCTTGTATCTGTACATGATATATCTTGGTTCTTATTTTTCCCCATTCCATTGAGTGCTCCCTCCCCCCCACACTCTTCCCTATTTACAAAGACTTTGTTTCCATTTTTTCCTTTTCTCATAATATTTCCTTTCCCTTCTTTCCTTTCTCCTTCCCCTCCAACTTCCCCTACCCCTTTGGAACTTTTCTTCCTATTTCAAATTATCAGTTACTCATTTTACTCATTTTAATCCTTATATACACTTTTAGTTTCTCACACTAGGGAAACTATTTGGTATTTACACATGTGTGTCCTATTTATTTCACTTAAGAGCATGGCCTCAATATGGATCCATTTAGCTATAAATATCTCCAGTTTCTCGTTCTTTATGGCTCAGTAGTACTCCATTTTATAAACAAAACAAAACAAAACAAAACAAACCACACATCTTCTTTATCCAGTTTCCAATTGATGGGCACTTGGGCTGTTTCCAAGCTTAAGCTATTACACACTATGCCGCTATAAACATGGGTGCACATATATCACTGGAGTATAATTCTTTTAATTCTTTTGGGAAGATATCCAGCAGGGGAATAGCTGGGTCAAATGGGACCTCTAGCTCTAGTTCTCTGAGGTTTCTCCATACTGATTTCCACAGTGGTTTTACCAGTCTTCACTCTGACCAACAATGGAGAAGGGTTCCTTTCTCCCCACAACCCCACCAGCATTTGTTATTGGTTGATTTCTTGATAACAGCCATTCTTCCTGAGGTGAGGTGGAATCTCAGTGTTGTTTTCCTCTGCAGCTCTCGAATGACCAATGATGTTGAGCAATTTTTCATGTTTATGTACTGCTTTTACTTCTTTGCCTGAGAAATGTCTGTTTATTTCCGATGCCCATTTTTGAATTGGGTCTTTGAATTTGAGGAGTCTGATTTTTTTCAGTTCTTTATATATTCTAGATAGTACTCCTTTGTCTAAGGTAGAGCTGCTAAATTTTTTTTCTCACATTGTAGGTTATCTCTTACCTCTGTTGGTGTTTTCTCTTGCAGTGAGAAGCTTTTTAATAAGATGAGATCTCAGTTGTTGATTCTTTGCGTGAGTTCCCGTGCTACTGAGGTTTTGTTCATAAAGTCTTTTCCTATGCCAATATCTTCAAGAGTTCTACCTAACTTATCTTCCAGCAACTTTAGTGTTTCTATTTTAATATTTAGATCTTTAATCCACTTCTATCTTGGTTTACTGCATGGTGGTAGGTATGGGTCTAGTTTTAATCTTTTTCAGACTGAAATCCAGCTTTTCCAACACCATTTATTAAAGAGGCTATCTTTCCTCCAATGAGGGTGGTTGGCTCCTTTGTCAAAGATGAGGTGGCTGAGCATGTCTGAAGTTGTTTCTGCATCTTCTAATATATTCCATTGATCCTCAGGTCTGTTTCTTTGCCAGTACCATGCTGGTTT